TAAACATCGAAATGTGCGTGTGTAAATGGGTTCGAACGCAAACAATGACCCAACTAAGTATTCTTTATATTATTATTGCTGGCCGAGTTGTAGGTATCTATTACGGGAAAATGGGAGAGAGAGAGAGAGAGAGAGAGAGGAGGTAGAGATTCCAAAATGAACGGTACGCCGTTGCGGCCGTTATAGCGAGCATAAAAAGCTTGCACATTTAAACAGCACAAGAACTTACATTGTGATCAATTTGTTCATATTTACGTCGGGTTTTGTGTCGCCCGTGGTCGGGCCACCATAGACACTCACTCACACACACATGCACACAATATATTGGCTCAATGTGTATATAATAATCTATCAATTTCTTCCACTTAAATCACTGTGATTTTTGACCTCAAATCGCATTAATGTTAATTTATTATCGATTTCTGAGGTTGTCAGAATTGATGTTTCGAGCCCGGGGATCAATAAACGTAATATTGAAAGATAGTGCCGACGACGACGCTAACGCTTAAACCGAAACGAGAAAATATTACAAAATCAAGCAAATAGATTTAGGCGAATTGACGCTCCAACTAGAACCAATACATTATACTATAGACAAGCATAAAACACGGCCACGACCCGATATTCCTCCAAATACAAATGATTGAATGCATGGGATATAGTTTATTACATGTTCAACGCGAAATTGCCCAAAATAAATTGACTGCCAGCTCAAATGCGATAAATAAAAACCAATAATTTATAGGTTTTGCGCCTGCCGCTATGCGAAAGAGGAATGTGGAAAAGAAAAATTGTCTTGATGCGAATGGCAAATAGTGTGGAGATTGAAAGAGAAATCACTTGAATGTACACACGAACAAACAAACGGAGAAAAAAAACAACGCAGAGCGTATGTTTTCTTCAGAATCTTTTCGAAGCAAAGATTTTTCAGAAGAAGAAAAAAAACGATTCGTTAAGATGAACTCTTAATTCGAAATCACATGTTTGGTACAAAACCAATTCATTCTCTCCATCTTACCAATGGACGTGTAATTGACAGACGCTTTTCCATTTGTTTCACGTATTTTTTTTGTCGGTATGTACATGGGTTCGTTTGGCTCTCTTTGCTGCGCCATTTACAATTAGGTGTATTCTTTTGCAGTGTATCTCGACACGGAGCAGTATCACATCAATAAAATGAACCGAATAACCGTCAAAGTGACAGAATGTGAACCGTACTTCGCTGCGGTAGCAACAGCAGCGGCCCCAAACAATGTAAGCAATCATAAAATTAGTTTGGATAAACGAATGTTTTGGAAAATAAATCGCTTGAAAGATGGTGTGTTCAACATTTTATGATAAATTGAATCCCAGAATTTTCGGATATGAGCGTGCGCGCACGGCCGTGTGAATAGGCAAAAACGAAGATAAATTGAAGTTAAAAACACAATTCCGTTTATTATTTATTAGTGACACCAGTGAAATAGCGATGACGATTTAAATGATGAAGATATATGTGTTACACAGGCTGACTGCCTGTGTACACTCAGTACATTCCGTCACATCGAAAACCGAGAATATTTCATAATACTGATTTCCTTATAAACGCACACGATTACGCACCAGCCAAAACTTCTGGCCATATTCACATCGGAAATGCGATACGGATTCCGAAAGGCGGATGATTGGTTGAAATCATTTCCATGGCATCCGTGCAGCTTTACTCCCAGTTATCGTCATCGTTGTGCGCGTTAACATGTGTATATATCAAAAGACGCCACATTATACGGGTCAATTTTTCCATTTGATTTATTTAAATTTAAAATATTGAAGTACGCACACCAAATGAATCGAAAGAATATGGATCAGGGTCGGAAGGAGATAGAAAGAGAGTTCATACACCCACACACACACACACACACACACACACACACACACACACACACACAC